TTAGCCCTGTGCCCCAACCAACTAAGCCACACAGCACCCACCATGTGATTAAAGATGCCTTAAAGCCCTGGCTGGACAGTTCTGTTGGTTAGAGCATCATCCTGATGTACCAAGGTTGTGAGTCCAGTCCCCTGTTAAAGCATATACAGAATCAACCAATGAATACATAAATGGGTGGAACAACAAATCAATGTCTCTCTCTCTCCCTCTCTCTCTCTCTCTCCCTCCCTCCCTCCCTCTCTCTCTCTTTCTTCCCCCCTCTCTCTAAAATCAATTAAAAAAAATTTTTTAAAGACACCTTCAAAACAGGAAATGGCACCTGCAATGAACTGATGACTGAATCGTACACACACACACACACACACACACACACTGCCCATCAGTGATGTGATGATCCTCATCAGGGAAGATCGAAACCCATGTAATAAAAAGGTCGGGACACTTGCTTATGCTGGAACAAAGAATGAACCTGGCATCTGGCATTGTTTCTGTCTCTGCCACAGCCCCTGCTTTCCTCCCACCCTGTTGTTAAGACCCTGTAGCTTGCAGAGAGGAGACATACAACTAGGTGTCTCCAAGAACATGTGAGCACATGGAAACACATTGCAGGGTTTCCAAGAAGAATCATGGAAAGTCGGGAAATTACTAAACTAACACCGCAAGAAGCATGAATAATGGGACCAGACAAGAAAAGGGGCTTAGACTTCTGATGGCAGTTTAATGTAAGAAAAGCCCAAAATAAAGGAGGAGGAAGCGGGGAGGGAGAGAAGGAGGGAAGAAAGGGACTCCAGTGAGTCATAAAGAGCGGAAGTGAGTAAGCTGTGTCTCTATGGTCCTCTCAGCCCTGTGCACCAACCTTTAAATTGGGTGAATGTGTTTATTATTCATCTGCTTAGTCTGGATTATTTTTATAGTTATTTATTCTGCAGGCAATGCTTTCTGGATTGTCATGCTAGACAAAGGGAAGATAAGCATGGCTCCTCTTAGAGTTCACATTCAAGGATAACAGGAGGATAACAAGGGACCACCTTTAAATGTGCCCTGATGGATCAAGCCATTTCTTTTAACACTGTGTGTCTGGCTACACAAGACCAATGAATCAAGCAGGTGAATAAACAGATGTGAAAGCCAATTACAACGGTGCTCCTGTGGCTTGTGTCACTCTCTACAGCTCATAGAACAAATCCTGCTGAGGAATTCCTAGGGACAAATACCCTCAACCTCAAAGCATCACTGCCAGGACTGCTGAAAGACTAGAAGGTGGGGGAGACACTTCCCACCATGTTACAAATTAAGAAGTTTGTCCTGACAGCCATTTGTAGATGACCCAAAATGCAGAAGACAAATCTCCAAAGGGAGGTGGGGGGGAAGCATTAAAATATGCCTCTAAAAAATCCTACAGTTATGCCCTGGCTGGTTTGGCTCAGTGGTTAGAGCGTCGGCCTGCAGACCAGAGAATCCCGGGTTCGGTTCCTGCTAGGGGCACATACCAAAACAAAAAAACAAAAAAAACCCACAGTTGTTACTCCTGATAGTATTCACTGCTACCAGAGCTGTGACCACAACAGGAAAGGTGACTGAATTTGTGAGACTTGTTAGGTTTGCTGCAGAATATATTCAGGGCATCTCTTCAAGGCATTCCTAGGCCCAGGAAACTGCCCAAATGCTGTTGGGCTTCAGGGAGACTGCTCACATGCAGAACAGCATGGCAGGGGGTGAAGAGGCCCATGTTGCAATCAGACCTGGATTATCTTCTCAACTAAGCCATATGCTCTACAGCCCTGAACTAACCAATTCCTTCCCTTTGGGGTGTAGTTTCTGCACTTAAAAATTGCTAGAAAAAAGAGAAGCATGGGATAGAGAGGGAGGGACAGATGACTGTTCAGAGGCATACACAAACAAACAGCAGTCCCCGAACCAGCTTTAGGTGACATGATTCAGTTCCTACCGGAAACTCTTTGCTCTTCCTCTTCCTCCTACACACCACAAAGTGCACTTTCACGATCACCACCCTTCCAGGAAGAGTAGCTTTTGAAAGGCAGCTCTTAGGCAATCTACAACTTCCTAAAATCATGCACAATGCTCCACTTAAGGGTACAATTTAGAGCACAATATCCAGCAATGCCCCAAACAAACCCGTTTCCCTGCTGTGTACCAGAGAGGTCTGGCAATGGCAGAAGGTCACTAGATGGGAAAGCCCAGGGCGGCTTCCAGAGGAAGGAACACTGGAGCTGAGACGTGAAGGAGGAACAGTTATGGGAAAGGAGGCAGAGGGCTACTACCCAGAGGGAACTGTGTGTGCCAAAGCCCTGTCAGGGTAGACACACGAGCTTCAAAAGAAGCAGAATAGGGGCCTGTGGCAGGAAAATGCAAAGCTGTTACAAGATACGGCTACAGAGGAAAGTGGGCAAGACCGTGATATGGGGATGCAATCAGGGGCCACTAAAGGGATCTAGGCAATAGGTGACATAATCAGACTTTCATTTTGAAAAGATCATTGCGACTACGTAATGGCCAATGAGTCCCAGTGGTGAATACTAGCATCCACTAAATGGGAACAAGTGTCTGAGACACCAAGAAAGAGAAAGGCTAAGCAGAGAAGAAGGGAGAAGGGCCCAGTGGATGGAAACAACCTGTATCCATCCCCTGAAATATCCTAAGCAGCACCAACATCAACTAGCAGCTTGTAAGAAAAGCAGAATCTCAAGCCCCAGCTAAGAACGTGTATTTTAACAAGGTCCCCCATGCGATTCAAATGCATGATAAAGCTTGAGAAGCACAGCTCCAAGACGAAGTGGTTATCAGCTTTTGGAGATCATCAATTATACCACTGAATTCTTGCATTTTCAAACCCAGCTTTAAACACAGTCTGCAATGAAGCTGCAAAATCCAAATGCCTGCCTTAATTAAAATAAAATCACAGATGAGTCTTGCCATGAAAGAACTCTTCCTACACCAACCAAGAAGGAAATCAGCATCTACCTGCTCCTTGATCTTGCTAAATCTATATATATAGCAACCACACGGAGTGACCACAGCTATGATACAAAGAAACATTCTATATCCATGCCCCGAAATATCCTAAGCAGAATCCAAGTCTCTGCCAAAGCTTCCAGAAGCATCCATGAGTCAGTCACCGTTGAGAAACAGCCTCTCAGCACTCAGCACTATTCACCTTGCTACCCACTTGAAAAATGAGAAAAGCCACTAGCAACATTCATTAGTCTTGCAGATCACAAATCTATCTAGACACTAGCTGGCTTAATAACTGCTTTTCTGTGACGCCTAAACTAAGTCCTTTAATCATTATGTGCCCCAGTTTTTTCCCATTTACAAAACAGGAACCCTAGTATTTATCTCCCCAAGAATGCTTTAAGGATTAGGGAAATAATATTTTCAATGCTTTTTAAGGCTTATCTGTGCTATTTCGTTCATATAGCTTTGATTATGTCATGATGCCACTCAAAAAACTTACAGTAGCTTTCCAGTATCCACTGAATGAAGACAGACTTCAAAATCCTTGCATTCTTATTGCATAGATGTCCAGCCAACCCAGACTAATCACAGTTTCTGAGCAAACTCAACTTTTCAGTCTCCATACTATAGCTAGAGACATTCCCAGTGGAACTGGAGCCCCATTGCCAACCCCTCCCCCTAAGTCCACATGTCTGCCCTGTGTGTTGAGACCTAAAGTATGTGTAGGCATTGACCAAACAAAGGGAGAAGGGAAAGCAGAGACACCAGGTGGAAGAAACAGAAATACTCAAAGGACTGAAGCTGGGAAATCCATCGTCCCTTGGAGAAACGGAAATGAAATCACAAGGACAGGAGCACAGAGCAGACACGCAGGCAATGTGAGGTTGATAGAGTGGGCAGGGGCCAGAGTACACAGGGCTCCAAAAGCCATATCCAGACATCTGGACTTTATCCTTAAAGGACTAGTGGAAAGGTTCTTGAAGGCAACCATACTATAATACTTGAGAACTGTTTTAGTGAAGGCACAAGGTACTCCAGAAACTTTTTCTGAAACTCTTTCAATCCACTCCACGTGGCCCACCAATGAAATTCAAACTGTTTTTAGAAAATATCTGTGGCAGTTTTAATAGCTATACAACGTCTCTTTTAACCAGAGATTATAATCACAGACCATAGACCCAGTAGAAACTTTAGCCATCATTTACTCTAACTGCTTATTTTAAAGATAAGAAAACTACAGTCCTGAGAGATTAAGTGATTTGCTCAAAGACAGAGGCAATTTGTGGCAGAGTCAATATTCAAACCCAAGTCCTATGCCTTCTAGGTCAGAGAGAATTAGATGTAGTAAACATTCTGATATAGGAATGAAAGCCTTCATTCATTCAACAAATATTTCTTTATGTACCGGAGGCCATTCTAAGCATTAGGAATTCAGAAGTAAACAAAGACAAATATCCTTGCCCTTGTAGAGTTTTCATTCTAGTAGGGAGACACAGACCAAAAAAAAGAAACCATAATAAATAAATTATACAGTATGTTAGAATAAGAAAAGTAGCACAGAAAAAAAGTAAAAAGGAGGCCCTGGTCGGTTTTCTCAGTGGTTAGAGCATCAGCCCACAGACCAAAGAGTCGAGGGTTCGATTCCGGTCAAGGGCACGTACTTGGGTTGTGGTTCGGTCCCTGGCCCTGGTCAGGGTCATGTAGGAGGCAACCAATCAATGTGTCTCTCTCACATCAATGCTTCTGTTTCTTTCTCTTTCTCTCTCTCTCTCTCTCTCTCCCCCTCCCTCTCTCTCTCCCGCCCGTTCCCTCCCCCCCACTCTATCTGAAGATAAATGGAAAAATATCCTCAGGTGGATATAAAAAAAACAAAAAAAGTAGAAGGGAGAAGTGAGATGAGAGAGGCTGTCAGGGCAGAGTGTTCACTGAGAAAGTGACAACTGAGCAGACCTGAAGGTGAGTGCTTGCAGGACACTGAGGACTTGAAAGGCCATGTGATTCCTATCCATTCCATCATAACTCACCTGTACAGAGCGTAGATAATAGGGCTGAAACTCTGGGGAGAAATTCAGCCTTTTTCTTAACTGTTGACATCCATCCACCAAGTTCAACAAGCAAAAATCCACAATTCAAACATTCTCTCTGATAAAACAGGAAAAAACAACTTTCCTTCTGGCTTTAACATGAGGTCTTCATAGGCTGATGAATTGGAATGTAGTGAAAAAGTGGATAAGGAGGGAATTTTAGGCTGGAAGCAAAACAAGTACATATTCTGCGTGTTGATAATGAACCAAGCCAATTTATTTCAGTTACTGCCAAATATGGATTAAAATGTGGGTCACTTCCTGAACACACCAGAAATGAAACTTAGATTGGCACCAAGTTCCCAAAACCTGATGAAGAGTTGCTCAGAACAGAGAAAAAGAGGCCATCAAAAGAGGAAGAACAATGGAAATTACAAAGACTCTCAGAGCTTGGCTGCATCTCCCTCCTCCCACCTCACTACACCCCTCCAACCAAGCACACTGTGTCATGTAAAGGACCAATACCATAATTCCAAAGGACAGACACTTTCTGAATAATCTTCACAGTAACCCTACGAGACACGTACTTTTACCAAACTCACTTTGCAGATGAAAAAACTGGGACAACTGAGTCTCTGAGAGGTTAAAATGCCCACAGCTCACAAGCAACACAGTCAGGACTGGAACCCAGGTCTACCAGACCCCACAACCCATACTGGGGCTCAGCAAACTTTGGCCCTTGTCCTGTTTTCATATGACTTGTGAGCTAAGAATGGTTTTTACATTATTAAAGGGTTGTGAAAGCAAACACAAAAAAGAGGAATGTACGACAGAGGCCCTATGTGGCCCACAGAGCTTAAAATATTTACTATCTGGCCCTATACAGAAAGTTTGCTGACCCTAGTTTAATCCACTGCACTAGCCGTCGGCAGGTAGTAAACAAGTTCTATTGGATATATTTTGTTTCCCAAATCATAAGCATCATTATGAAGGGAAACAAGCTGCAGAAGATGGAGAACCAGTTGTCACACACCACTCTTAAGTCACTGGCTGGGGGTTACAGAACTCTGCTGTACTACTTAAGTTTTCACACAACATTTTGCTTTCATTTGTTTTAATTTGTCCCAGCAGGAGCAGTTTTTGCTCTCCCTTGTACCCACCTGACATCCCATTCCCTGCTCACTAGGTACTTGGCTCCCAAACACTATTCTCAGGCTGCCCAGTCTGCCCAGTCCTGGTGGTCCCCAATACCTCAAAACTGTCTTTTGTTTCTTCCCATCCAAATCTGAATGTCCAGGGTTACATTATTAAAACAGTCTGATAGCCCAAATTAACTTGTCTATATGTGGAGAAAATACATGATATTCGGGAGACACCCCTTTCTCTTCCCTGGATGGCCCTTGTTTAATTTACTCAGGCCAGTGTAGAGGAATTTTGTTGCCTTGGCCACCTAGCAGCTATTCCCTTCTTCTGTATTTATAGCACCCTAATATGCCTCTGGGAATCCCTTCCTCCCTGACTTTCAGAACATTTATTTCATATGCTGTTGACTCCACTCTGGACTCTGGCCAGGCGAGCTTCAAGGATTGTCTCAAGGATAAGCACTGATTCAACAAAAAGCCAATGAGAACCATGCTCAGGGCTTCAGTTCAAACTCTTGGCCACAAGTCATCTTTCCAATGCGAGGGAAAAGGCCATTTGAGAATGGCACCAACCTAAAGGAAAGCAGAGAAGAGAGATGCAAGAGACCAGGCATGCAGATATGGTGTAAGCCACTGAATCCAGGCTTGTCCAAAGTCAGGACATCCCTGGGCTTCCAGCTATAGACCACAGTGCATTCCCTTTCTGCTTAAGCACCTTGGATTGGATCTTCCCTCCCTCGTAAGGGAAAGTGGTCTGTCTGGTGCAGTCAAAGGGGAAGCACCATGTGTGCAACTGTGCCTTATTAAAATCAACTGATAGGGTGGCGATAAAAGCTGCCTTTACTATCAGCTAAGTTCCTCACCAATACTCGGTGTCTGTGTGGAGACCAAAGGGAGCTCACCTCTCTTTTCCCTATCTATGCAGGAACAGGGGGTTCTCTGAAAGATGTCATGGCATTTAATTTAACACCGAGTTATCTGACTAGAGCTGGGAACAGGGAGATTAAAACAGTAAGATTCTCACAATCAGATATCAAATCAGTACACTTTACCTCCTCCCACCCAAAACTAGTATCTCTCCATCCTCAAAGGGAAAAGAAAACAGAAAAATGGCAAAGGGAATGTAACAGTTTTTGGATAGGTTCTTCTGCTTATATTATATCCAGGGTTGCTTGGCAACTGGCCTCAGCCTGGTTACTCCAATGGACAAGCAGAGGAATGAATGTCAGACCTCCAGGTCATACAGCATGTCCTGTTTATGGCCCCTTGGCTGGAGGGCAGAGGTGAGTTCACACTGTTCTACAAAGCTAGCAGAAAACAGCCGAGAGAGCACCTGCTGTCTTCAAGGGCTCCCCATTGGGTTTCTGTCTCCCACACTGGCCAAAGTTCCTCTAACTCAGCAGTTCTCAACCTGTGGGCCGTGACCCCTTTGGAGGTCGAAAGACCCTTTCACAGGAGCCGCCTAAGTCATAGCAGTAGCAAAATTACAGTTATAAAGTAGCAACAAAAATAATTTTATGGTTGGGGGTCACCACAACATGAGGAACTGTATTAAACGGTTGCGGCATTAGGAAGGTTGAGAACCACTGCTCTAACTCTTGCTTTTGATGAACATAAACTGTGGATGTTCCACCAAAAACAGATTAAAAATACTTTCAAAAACAGCTTAACAGAAAAACAGAGAAAAAATTCTGACACAGAGAGAACTTTAATTGTATTATTTATTAAGACAGTAGAAATCAGCAGAGAGTGGAAGGCATGATGCACAATCAGGAAAACACAGGCCAGCTTGTGTTTTAGGTTCAGGGTTTTCTCATCCTCCATGTCCTTGCTCACTTCACTGCCACCTCCAAGGATTCCGACAATGAAAGCACAGCCATGGTGTTGTCTCTAGGTCATGAACTAATTTCCAACAACTGAGAAGTCAGTAGAGAGAGAGATTTCTGCATTTAGTAACACATTTTAGAAGTAATTCTGGTACCAGATCCCTGCACAGTCAGTACACTGCAGGAGCAGAAGAAAAAAATGTGGGTCAGTGAGTCTCTAGTGCTTAGATGTCACAAAACAGGACATCGGTGTATGCAAAGTTAGAGACATGATGCTGTTCCTTCTCTCCCGCTGCCTGCTCCTAAATTAAACACCTACGAATGATTGGCTTTTCATAGAAAACAGAGACCATAGTCCAAGAGACAGAAACAAGAGACATGTTCATGCTTAAATCCTATTTAGCAGGAATCCAGTCCTAAATCTTGAGAGGCTGTGTGGGAAACACTGCCTTCTGTTGGCTGAATTCCTGCTGAGACCCATTTGTCCACATGGAACTATCCTAATGAACTAGTATTAAATCTTATGAAAAGTCACTACAGGGTTTCAGAAAAATTTTGTACAGAAGCTGACTTGAGGAATCCACTGGAGGAACATGATGTGGTTCCAGCATGGAAACACTGTCAGCAAACAACATACAGAGGTCTGTGATGTGAACAAAAGTGGGAGAAATCTTTTTAGAGAAAAATGAAAAGTCTTCTATAACTGATCATGAAGCTTATCAAGGGTGCCTTCCCATTTGTGGGACAATCACTAAAATGATTATTAAAACTTAACACCTGTTATTTATTTTTTTAATCCTCACCCGAGGACATTTTTCCATTTTTTATTCAGATAGAGCGGGAGGGGGAGAGAGGAAGCGAGAGAAAGAGAGAAACACTGACGTGAAAGGGACACATCAAGTGGCTGCCACTCACACGACCCAACCAGGGCCGGGAACAAACTGCAACCAAAGTACGTGCCCTTAGCGGGAACCAAACCCAGGTCTCTCTGACCGCAGGCCAACGCTCCAACCACTGAGCCAAACCAGCCAGGGCTAAAACTTAACACCTATTAAAAGGGAAGAAATGGAGGAAAATATATACTATCCTATTCAAAAATCTCCCTTTTCAAAGAAAAAACATGAGCAAACAGTCCTGTTGATTTAAGAGTCTGCTGTAAGTCCATTCAGCTGTAAGTGCATTTCTTCTAGGTTTGAAGAGAATGAAAGGAATCAATTCATAGAGGTTTAACTGGCCCAGCCAAGGAAATCTGGGTCTCCCTCTTGATGCTTATGACACGAATTTAGAAACATTAGATTTCTCTTTCCTTTCCACTGCCTGATAAAAATGATGATAAAGAAACAAGAGACCATCCCAGCCTATGTGGCTCACTGATTGAGCATCAACCCATGTACCAAGAGGTCACCGATTCGATTCCCGGTCAGGGCACATGCCCAGGTTGTGGGCCAAATCCCTAGTGGGGGGGCATGCAGGAGGTGGCCAATCGATGTTCTCTCTCATCAATATTTCTATCTTTCTCTCCCTCTCGCTTCTTCTCTCTCTAATATCAATAAAGAAAAAAGAAACAAAGACCATCCCTGGCCAGTTTGGCATAGCAGTTAGAATGTTGGGCAGTGGACCAAAGAGTTGCATTTCAATTCTAGTCAACAGCACATACCTCGGAGGCCGTTTGGTCCCCTGCCATGGTCAGGGTCATGCAGAGGGCAACCAATCGATGTGTATCTCTCGCATCAATGTTTTTCTCTCTCTCAAACAAAAAAAAGAAAAAATAAATAAATAAATAAATAAATGGAAAAATATCCTCGGGTGAGGATTACTTACTTACTTATTTATTTATTTATTTATTTATTTTTAATTTTTTTATCCTCACCCAAGGACATTTTTCCATATTTTGTTCAGATAGAGTGGGAGGGAGAGAAAGAGAGAGAAACAGGAACGTGAAAGGGACACATCAAGTGGTTGCCAGCTACACGACCCAACCAGGGCCAGGGACAAACTGCAACCGAGGTACATGCCATTAGTGGAAACCGAACCCGGGTCTCTCTGGACCGCAGGCCAATGCTCTAACCGCTGAGCCAAACCAGCCAGAGCAAGGATTAAAAAAAAAGAGATCTGCCCTGGCCAGTTTGGTTTAGTGGTTAAAGCATCAGCCTGCAGACCGAAGGGTTTGATTCCCAGTCAAGGGCATGTACCAGGGTTGTAGGTTCAATCCCCAGCCCCAGCTGGGTCGTGTGAGAGGCAACCAATCGATGTATCTCTCTCACATTAATGTTTCTCTCTTTCTCTTTCTCTCCCTCCTCCCCTCCCTTACACTCTATCTAAAGATAACTAGAAAAATATCCTCGGGGGAGGGAGGAAGAAAGAGAGAAAGAGGGAAAGGAAGGGAAGGAAGGGAAGGAAGGGAAGGAAGGGAAGGAAGGGAAGGAAGGGAAGGAAAGGAAGGAAGGGAAGGAAGGAAGGAAGGCAGGCCTAAGAGAGAAGAGTGAGCAAAGGCAAAGGGGTAGGAGGAAGAGGCTGGTGACAGCATTAATCAACTCTTACTTCTGATTCTTGCTTTTTTTAACTCATCATTTTCCTTTGCTACCCCAAAGAGAGACTGGATCACCACCTACTCAGAGCAATCACACCTGATCTGTCCAAGGTGGAATCTTAAAAACAAAGTAAAATCTCAAGAGAACCAAGTGATGCTTGAGGTCAGGAACATGGAGAGTTGCTTTTAGAACACACAGTCAAGTGGTCAAGCAGAACTCTTTGAGGGACATATGACATAATTCAACAGGTTCAGGGTACTGAGAAAGTTAGAGGGTGAGAAGCACTATGAAGACTACAAAATTGTAATGGTATAGAGGGTAAAGGGATGCTACTTAAGACTTTAGGTCATGTGGTCAGGGGAGGAGTCTTTGAGCAGCCTTTGGCTGAAACCTGAAGGATGAAAAGAAGTTGCCAACCACATGAAGATCTGTAGCAAAGCCATTCCAAAGGAAAAGCAATGGAAAGTCCTATGGCTGGGAAGCGCTCAGTGTGTTAGAGGAGTCTGAGACCAGTGAAACTTAAGCACAGAGGGAGAACTATCAGAGAGGAGACTAAGAAACTAGGCAGAAGCCTTATCATATATAAGCCATAGTAATTAAAACTGTCTTCTGAGTGACATGGGAAGCCGTTGGGAAATTTGGGGCAAGAGGGACATGATGGGGTCTATGTTTTTTTAAAACATCAGTTTGCCTGCCATGTGAGGAATAGATTCTATCTTACCAAGATCACTATGGTTCTGGCTGGTCATGATTCCAATAAGTAAAAATGGTTCCGCCTATGAAAACAGAAGAAACATAAATGGAAGAAAATATGACCCAACACCATCTATCCACCAAGTGAGAGCTTACGATTTTCAACAACCACAGTCACCGAGTGTAGGCCCAGAATGCAGGTCATTCAGCAATATGGAGGAGCTCTCTCTAAGCATACAATCTCAAGTTGCCTCCACTACCCATCACTCTCAATCCTTTTTTATTTCTTTTGTTTGTTTTTATTTTGTTTTTATCTTTATTGTTAAAAGTATTACAGATATCCTCCCTTTTTTCCCCCATTGACCCCCTCTTCCCCACTTCCACCCCCCTCCTGATTTCCCCAAACTATTGTCTATGTTCATTAGTTATGCATATAAGTTCTGTGGTTTATCTCTTCCCAAAACCCCACCCCTCTCCCCTCTGAGGTTTGTCAGTCTGTTCCCTACTTCCACATCTCTGGATCTATTTTGATCGACAGCTTATTTTGTTCATGATATTCCAGAAATAAGTGAGACCATGTGGTACTTATCTTTCTCTGAGTGGCTTATTTCACTCAGCATAATACTCTCCAGGTCCCCCCATGTCGTCTCAAAAGGTAAGAGAACTTTCTTTCTTACAGCTGTATAGTATTCCATTGTGTATACGTACTATAGCTTTTTTAGCCACTCATTTATTGATAGACACTTGGCCTGTTTCCAGATCTTAGCTATTGTAAATAGTGCTGCTATGAACATAGGGGTATACAAATGGCCAAGAGACACATGAAAAAATGTTCACATCACTAATCATCAGAGAGATACAAATTAAAACGACAATGAGGTATCACCTCACACCTGCCAGAATGGCCACCATCAACAAATCATCAAACAACAAGTGTTGGGGAGGGTGTGGAGAAAAGGGGTCTCTAGTACACTGCTGGTGGGAATGCAGACTGGTGCAGCCACTATGGAAAACTATATGGTGTTTCCTCAAAAATTAAAAATGTAATTGCCATTTGACCCAATGACTCCACTTCTAGGAATATATCCTAAGAAGCCTGAAACAATAATCAGAAAGAATATATGCACCCCTATGTTCAATCTTATTTTATTTCCATCGTGGTACTTCTCACTATCTAAAAGTATCCTATTTACTTGCTTACTCTGCCCACTAAAATATAAGCTCCATGAGAATCAGAACTTTGTCTTGTTCAGAGCTATGCACCAATACCTAGAACAGTGTCTAGTACATATTTGGAGTCCAGTAAGTATGTGTTGATGGGGCTAATGAAGTCTAATTTCTAGAAACAATTCCTAATACAAGGATCCATCTCCAATAAGAAAGCCAGAGATTCAGATGTAGAGACAGCACAAAGACAATTTTTATATTATTCCTATCTTTCAAAA